TATTGTTTAGTTTCCATTCAACATGAGGTCATTAATAGAAGCAACTAGTGGTATGAAGATAAGGGATGACTAGTTTTACATGTCTGAATGTTTAGATCTTTCTTTTTCAATCAGGTGGACCAACTTGTTCTTGAGGATCTAGTCCGTGAAAAGTTCCCAAAATTGGGTCTGTATTCTATTGTGGTAGATGCATGTTATTACTTTATTCTCATATATGCCATTACAATGAGCTGATTGTCTGTTAGATAACTTATTGTTTTATATAAATGTGTTGCAGTTAATCATCTCGATTACCTGGGGGTGCAGGTTGCATGGGTTACTGGACCTTGGTTCCTTTCGATCTTTGTCAATATGCTTCCATGGGAAAGTGGTCAGTTTCCCCTCCCTGATATTTCCCTGAAGACTATTAGTGTAGTTTTGGGACTATTTAGTTTTCTTGATATTCCATTTAGTTCTATTAACTCATCAAGGATTGTGTCTTTGTATTTCTTTCTCTCTTGCCCCTTTAATTTATATTAAATTTATCCTCCTTATTGATGCACAATTTTCTATTTGTTCATGTCCAGTCTAACTTAGAAAGTACCAAGGCACTTCCTCAAATATTGCACATTAGATATGATTTTTTACTCATAAGTCTCCTTGTACCTCAACTCTGTTTTAAGATTCTTGTCTTAGATCTCTATTCTTCGAATGTATTACTTTTCAACTTGCTACCATTGTGATACATTAAAGCATATTTATAGACACTGCAAATATTTCTGAATACACTGTGTTTATTTTCCAGTTCTTCGTGTTTGGGATGTGCTTCTTTTTGGTGGAAATCGTGTTATGCTGTTCCGCACAGCACTTGCTTTGATGGAGTTATATGGTACTGGGTAAATGACTTTTGGTTTGTGGTCTTCTTGACTAATTTCATTGACATAAAGTTAACAGAGTGCCTGTGCAATGTAAGTCTAAAGATCACCATTTCCTTGATGGATTGTCGTGTAGGTCCTGCGCTGGTAACAGCAAAAGATGCTGGAGATGCAGTAACTTTGTTGCAGGCTCTTGCTGGTTCTACCTTCGATAGCAGCCAACTTGTCTTGATAGCTTGCATGGGTTTTCAAACTGTAGATGAAATGAATCTGGAGCAGTTGAGGAAAAGGCACAGGCCTGAAGTTATCGCTGTCATGGAGGAAAGGTCCAGAGGACTTCGTGCTTGGAAGGACTCCCAGGGCCTAGCATCTAAATTTTACAGGTTGAAGCATGGTCCAGAATCATTACGCATGGAAACCAACTCCACAGATGGTCCAGCTGGTTTACAAGCCAATGGGGATTCGCCATTAAAGTCTGAATCAGCTGAGGGATACTTCAGTAGCTTAACAGTTGATGGCGAGTTGGATTCTGTACCTGATCTCAAAGAACAGGTAATCTTCCCATTAGTTGATCTTTTAGGTAATTTATGCCTAATGTTCCGTGAAACTGTCTGCTGTAGTTAGGCAGCATTCTACTGCTTGCATTCTAGGCATTCAGTTATCACCTAGGCAGGTGCCCACTAGTCAAGGACCCAAGACATCACAAAATTTCTGAAATGACTTAGTTTTAAATGTTCCTATGAGAAGGATAATACTTTCATCCACAAAATTTGCATTGTAACATAATGGTACCTTTTAACAAGCAAAAAAAAAAAAAAAAAACTGCTTGAACAAATGGCCATCTGCCGAATTATGATAGTGACGTTCTACATGCTATGAAGCTTAGTGCATTCAAAATGACATCCGCCCTATCCACAACTGATTCATCGAGAAAACAATTAGTAGTATAAAAGAACATTAGCAATGTGCATTATCAATTAAGAAGGATAATAAAATTGATAGTAAAAGGATCGCTGACAATCCAGGAAAAATATCAGCTAATATTTATGAAATAGAATACCAGTTTACGGATTTTCGAGTTCTGACATTTGTTCTTAGAAAAGTCATGGAAAGCATCTCAGCAAGCACTACCATAGTGCAACAAGAAAACAATACTGTACTTGCTCAGTTGCTGTTTCCACCAGCACCAGAGCAGCAACCTGATCTAATGATCTGGTTCATTTGGATCATTTATACATCAAAAATTGGGATCCTCTTTCTTAACATATCTTGGTGATTACTTTGTTACAAAATCTTCTCATAAAAGAACTTGCAACTTGGGAGGTGACTTATTGATATTGAAATGTTGTATTACTTGCAGTTTTTCCTTTTTTATTGTAATTGCACATTTTCCTTCATGATATTAGGAACATGTGACAGATATCTTTACTATATATATTAAGGGGATTTGTAGACCTTAAAGGACATGGTGTTCCATTTTGTTTCTCAATCTTCTAAACTGAACCCAACATGAGTTAAGCTGACTGCAAAATGCCTGATAATTGGAGCAGGTCTCCATATTATTGTGATGATTAACCTTTCTTATTTTTGGTATAGGTGACATTGTTGAAGGTTGAGTTATGCAGATTGCTGGAGGAGAAAAGATCAGCTGTTCTCAGGTTTGTGTACAAATAGCACCCTGCTTTCCAATTTGTAAACAAGTCTTTCAAGGTAAAATTTGTTGCCTCGATTCTTGGAAGTTAGAAGACGAACCTCCATCTAGAGAATTTACTTTCCAGCTGCTTTTCATACTCGTCTCTTTGTAAAATTTGTTGAAGGACTTATAAAAGTATTATGTGAGGTGTCTTCTAAGAAGCACAATAGCCACCCAGCAGTGCTTGCACTAGCTACTTTAAGTATGAAGAACAGGTAAAAGAATGAAACATTACTTTTTAGTCTGTTGGATTGCAACTAACTCTCTAACATGACTAGTATGTAATTCTTTTTCTGAATTTTTGTCACATGGTTCTCAACATATATGTTGTTTATCATTCTGACTTCTTCCATCTTTTTCCTATAACCAGAGTCTGCCGATTTTTACTTCTATTTTCAAGTGCATACTACAATACAACTACGGAAAAGCCGAAGCAAAATTTTCTTTATGTTCTTTGGAATTTAATATCTGTTTGCTGTTTTATTATTTTGCTAGATCTGAAGAGTTGGAGACAGCACTAATGGAGATGGTCAGACAGGACAACAGGCGCCTTCTAAGTGCCAGGGTACGTTTCGAGGATGTTCTTATAAAAGACTTGTTCCTAATATATATAGTAAAGATAATGCATCTTAGATTTTGACATTATTATCAAACAGGTAGGTTTTAGATTGACAGTTTTATACTGGCTTAAGCATCTCAAGTATTGGTGATAAGTTCAATAAGAAGTTGTGCATCTATATTACCGTCTTCATCCTTTGTGGGTTCTGTTGAGTGTTACTGTTTGTCACACATTCTAATCCAGCCAGAGAACATTCATTGTACAGGTTGAGCAGCTAGAAAAAGAGGTATCTGAATTACGACAAACTCTTGCAGATAAACAAGAAGAAGAAAATGCCATGCTCCAGGTGTAATTTTCTTCCTGTTTTATTGCTCATCTTCTATAATAGCTTCTGTCTTTAACCTTATACAGCAATAACACTATGTTATTATGTGGCTTTATATTATGATGCTTTCATAGGTTTTAATGAGGATGGAGCAGGAACAGAAAGTGACAGAAGATGCTCGCCTGTTAGCTGAGCAAAACGCTGCTGCTCAGAAATATGCAGCTTATATGCTTAAGGTTCTAACTTGTCACTGAATTTGTGGTTAAACTCGATTGATTATAAATGTTTCTTCTTTTTCCTTCTTCCATACAAATTCGTTTTTGGGATTTGGCATATCGGTAGTTGAATGGCAGTATCAATGTCCTTTTTCTCTGCAAAATTATATACTGGTAGTATACATATATTCATCTCATATGAGCTTTATGGAAGAAGCTTCTTGTTAATTGATTTATTTCTTCTTCTTTTTTTGGATCATTTATTTGTTGGATCATATTTTTTGTTTTGGATCATTTTAGTTATCTTTTTTCATTGTTTTGATTAATGCTAGTCCATGTCCTCTTTTTCTTATTTTTCTTCATTTGTGTTAGATAATGAAATATTTTTATTGTGAATGGCTGATGTTTAGAGACGACAGTACTTGCTCCAATGTGAATTGGCTCATCAGTACTGTCTGGTGTCATTGAAAAAAAATTAATGAAAAAGGTATTAAATTCTGGTCCATGGTTGGAACGGTAAATATCAGTAGGCGCATGCTAGTCCAACTGATATTTGAAAATATGCATAGATCATGATCAATTACATGTGTTATCATGAGAAAATTTTTCCAAATTAACTAACTTTTTCTGGCAGCATTTATTTCATCATTTCATGTTGGATGGAATGTTTAGTTGGATCCTTAAAATGATTTTGACTTGCAAATGAGTCTCGAATTTGTTTGCCTTTTTCTCCATTTATCATATTCTCTCCTTAGTTTTCAGTATAATATGCAGGAAAAATATGAAGAGACAATGGCTGCAATTGCACAGATGGAGAAAAGGGCTGTAATGGCTGAGACAATGCTGGAGGCGACAATACAGTATCAGTCAAATCAGGTCAAAGCTCAAGAATTGTCATCACCAAGGTATCATTTTGCAGTGATTTTTTTGTTTGGTGGTGCTTGTAATGTTTTTAATTGAAGTATCCATTTCAATTAAATGTTTGACCAAATCTTAATGTTGTCTCATAATTTGTCTACCAGGAAAACTAGACCATTTGGACTTGGCTGGCTCGACAAGAAAAAGGTAAGCGGCTGGCTTGACATTGTTTCCCGAGTATATTTGGATTTCCTGGTACAATAAATTAATTTACCCACCACAATCATAATTTATATGGATCCTAAATTTTATTTTGCTTTGCATCAGGGCAAGCCGGAAGAGACCACAGAAGGTAAAATGACGTCCGATGTACTACCCCAGAAAACTCCCACCGATGATGTTAATGGTCTTGAGCAAGTAGATAAGTAGCAGATATGGAACTCTGCTTCAATGTCACTTTTGTCTACTTCCCAAAGTCCGGTATTTGTATTGGCTGTATTATGTTATTATAGTACAGAGAAATGGCCTTTCTGGGTATTTTACCCCTCATCTTCGGTAGCTTTTGCAACTCTTTATCATCTCCATCATAGTTCGAAAACATTAGTCCGTGATGTGTGTAGGATTGGATGTCGGGAACGAATTTACTGTCGGGAACGAATTCACTTGCGTGTCAGCAGCAGGTCTTTGAACATCATGGCATCAAACACAACTCTTCTTTCCAAGCGGAGGAAGCCCGATGTCCTGCAATCACCAGCGCTGCGGAGCTTGCGGAGGGAAAGGGTTGACACCGCCAATGGACTTGCATGGATCACCTCGGCAGTTTCCATTTCGGTAATTTAAAAAAAAAAGGAACATCATAGATTTTCGGTAATGCAGTTTCTCAATAGTAGCTGATAGATAATCCCTCTCTGAGAAGTAAAATAAAACAAGTGGTGATACAAACACACAGGTCCCCAGCGTTCCAAGTGTATTCTCACACCCAATTTACCCTATTGAGCTATCCATTAATGGAGAAGACACAATTTACCTACTTGGTAGCGCACTTATGCAACCAGACCATGAGGATCTTCCGTGTCTGCCGCTCGACCAGTTTGTTCATGCACGGACTGCCACACAAATTGCCCACGCACACGTGGCCGCTGGTCCGCAAGTTTCTTCCTGCTCTGGTAACGGACCTGAAAGATCAAGATTTCATCTGTATTTTCCATGAGCCACAATCAAAGGAACAGATTATCGTAACATTACAAAAAGATCAAGATTTTCTATAACCGGCGCTACGAAAAATATCAAGATTTTCACAACATGTTTCCGATATCCAGAAATCACAGAAAATTGCAGTCAGAAAATTGCGATATGTACGCTTTAGTCAGAAAAAAGCAAATACCTTTTTTCTGAAGTTCCTTTCTTTCCTTTTTTGTCGAAACTTCTTCAAGGCAGCCTCTCGTTGAGCTAACCGGTTTTGATCTACTCCACAAGCACCACCCCTCCCACTACCATTGCCACTTCCAGGACCACACTGTTCTGTGAGTCCATTAGCACTCTCCATATTCAGCCCTCCAGTTTGAATGGCATTACTACTTCCATCTTGCCGATTGCTACAATAATTACTGCCTGAATTGCTCCCATTTATGCTATAATTTGCAGCATTACCCTCAACATGCCCATTAAACACGTTGAATGATCCACACTGGTGTGTAGCTCCTGCCTTGTTCTTGAGTGACAAGTCATTGTGATTTGGTGATGGCTGTTGTCTGTGCTGCTGTACATTGTGAACTTGGTGATAATGATGATGATAGTGGTGACCACGATGATGTTGAGCCAGGACTTGGTGTTGGAACTTCCTTGGTTGATTTGTGGCTGAAGCTGCTGTCACAGTTTCCACATTGTCTTGCACAGGCTCCTGACTTTCTGACGCTTGATACTGCACTGGGTGGAGAGCTGTAGACTGGTTACATTTGACTGTTGATGTAAATGCTGCTGTCTTTGTTTTGTGCGCCGCTTGTTGTGTCAAGGCATTCTTGGTAGTGGATCCCATGTCATTGTCATTACTACCATTGGAACCTTGCTTTGGGTGACCTGCATCTGAACTAGACACAATATTGTGCATCGACTCTGTCTTAATTGCCTCCGAACTGGTATCAAGTGGAGAGCAGCTTCCTCCACATCCAGTGGGAGCTTGATTAGAAGTGGCAGATGTGTGATATCTTGCACAAAATTAAAGAAGTTAGAATCAGTCTTCTTAAGCAACATAAGAAGCAATAACAATTTAAAATGTTTCTTTCTTTCACCTTGAGAATGCAGACAATTCTAAGCGCCTTAAGACATTGCGGTCATCTTGATTGGCAGTTCCACTCTCGCCAATTGACCTCAACCTCTTCAAACTCAACTCAACGGATGGTAAATCTATTGAAGTGTGATTAATCTTATCTTGCTCTTCTACAACCTTGGAAAAACCACTAGGAGCCTGAGCAATCCTGGTTACCACTCGAGAGTCAGAGCTATTGGCAACTGCATCAATCAGATTAGCAGCTTGAGCATTTGGATCATTGAACGAATCGTTACGAAAAGTGCCAAGATGGCCCTTATTCTTGGAGTCCTTTTCAGGCAATTTGTCCATTTTCTTGTCTGCTAACTTGATAAAATCCTGCTCGGTTGAATGACTTTCATATTGCATTTCTGGTTTCCTGCATTCTTGAATCTTCATTTTTTTCCCCATGCAATCATCTAGAAAACAGACTAAAGTTTCACGAGAATCCTGAAAGTGTGCAAGAAATAGATTTTAGGTAATGTTAGCTCACCAGAAGGTTTCTTTTTACCATGATTCTCTCTAATGGCAGATGTAGGCATCTGATCTTTACTGAAGGTTTCTGGCGTTGGGCGAATGACTTGTGCACATGTACTATCAGGTGGATCAGCTAACTGATCTAAAGGAGACATAGGTTGGGGACTGTCAGTCTCCGGAGCACATTTTGTCCAGGAACTCTACATGTCAAATTTTGAGTGTGTTCAAATGATGTGGGGAAGTTGCGAATAAAGACAACAAAAGGCATCCACCTCTTCTTAATTTTATGAACTGTCAATTAATGATGAACTATGACATCCAACTTCAGATGGACTATGACATCCGGATTTTCAATGTGAGAAACCATACCAGTAGTTTAATTTTGAGGTAATAAAAAGATACATCTTTATATTTTAAGCTGGTCTACTTGATTAATGACTTTTTCTTCTTGTTTTTGCCTAAGAACATCCTACAAGAAAAGCAGACAAAAACAGTACTGTGGTCCATATCTACTATTATGACAAATACCAAGGAGCGATGATTTCTGCAAGTCACATAAATGACATATGACAGAAAAATGTACAGTAGAAAAAAATTAAATGAATGCAAAATCCATGGTAAAAAAATGATTTGTATTAAGAGGGAAAATTTGTGGCATCAAAAGTCCATTCGATGATGGTAAGTGCTGCTAACTGAAGTGAATTATCCTTATCCAATTGATGGCTCTCCAATTGATAAAAATTCTAAATTTGTAAACCTATTAAGGTAGGTTTTTTTAATGCATATAAAGTAAAGAATTGAGTGATGAAAGTAGAGAGAGAACAATATAGTAATCGAGCATATCTAGGTTGATATGCTTCTGGTTGTTGTCCATGAAAATTATACTAGCATTAAAAACATAATGTTGAAGAGATAAAGCTACATTAGTAATAAGTATGCTTTCTGATAATGTTGAACCAGCAGCAACAGGTTATTTACATGTCGCCAACATTCATTGATTACTACATGGATACATTTTTCGTGCCTTCCATGATGATAAATAAGAGCGTGAACAAGTAGTCTGAGACAAAAAGTGCACCTGAGTTCGACTACCATGGTCACTGCCATCTCTTGCATTCAGGTCTATACTTTCATTATCATGATCATTGCTGCTACTACTGTTGTCAGTGTCATCCGAGCTCTTTGACTTAACTGATTTCTGTGTTTGGATGCCACTTTCACTTCCACTGCCACTGCCACTGGACTGAGATGAAGCAGAGTTGGTGCAATTAGAAAACAGAAAGGGAAATCAGAATTGATTTATACAAGCATAAGAAAGAAAACAACGCACGAGAAGGCCCTACATGTGTAATCCAGTACTGAAGGACATTGACACACTAAAGAAAGAAGCTACGGATGAGAGTGAGATACATGTATATGATTTATCATGGTGAACATGATACTGTAAAGGGCTTATCAGAATATATAGTAACTAACACTGTGACATCTCCTCCACACATGCTGCCAAAGGTTTTTAAGCTCATTCTTGCGGATAGGCTTCACTAAAAAGTCAACTGCACCTTTTGACAGACATTTAAAGACTGTACCCATAGAATCGCTTGATGACATCACTACACACAGATCACAAATTTTCAGAAGTTAAATATCTCAAACATGAATAACCCAATATACATTCACAATTCTGTTTTCATCACATGCTGTAAGAAAAATACTCACTAATCACAGGTACATTCTTGCGTGTTTTATGGTTCATGATTTTGCTTAAAAGACCAACGCCATTTAAACCAGGCATGACCACCTCAGTCAACACGAGGTCAACATGATTAGTTAGATGTTCCAATATTTTCCATGCTTGCAAACCATTTGCAACAGCAGTGACTGTCAAAGAATGAAAACAAAAACATCATTAGTTAATTAATCACATTATATTCATTACAAAAAGTATATACCAAGACGATAAGGAAGAGAGCACACTGACAAAGAACCTTGCCTTGTAAACTTGGATTAAACTAACTATATTCAGAATTTCAGATCACATAAGCCACTCAAACATCAAATTTAAATAGTTGAATCACTTGATATGCAAAGTTGATATGATAGATGTGGCAAAGATGAAGAACAGTAAGCAAAGAAAGAAATGGTAATGGATAATCTTGGTCTGATTTATATTATAAAGGTATACCATGAACAAGATGCTCGAACTGCGCATTTAGAAGCTCCTGAGAAAAGATTTTTGCTGCTTCAAACTACAGCAGATTAATGATGAAAGAAAGAGGTAGAGAAGGAGAAAATTTCCTCTCCTCCATCATAGTATACCCTAATCTCCTCAAGTATAAAGAAATAAATAAACACACCTGCTATTACATTTTGGTGTGCATAATGTTTGCATATATTGGAAGGAAAGAATATTTTGTGGCAACAAACATTTAATGTGGTTCATGAGCATACTATCTTTTTCTTTTGCCATAATCAATAAATTTCTAACAAGGCATGTTGTACTGATCATGCCGAGGTAGACCATCAGTTCACACTGTGGTGATAAGTTATGTGCAAGGAAACTACTATGTTAAGGGTATGTCAACAAATTTGACATGTCATTAGCTTCGGTGAATCAGAATAGAACCCACACCATATTGTGCCAGGATGTTACCAATAGTACCAGCGATAGACCTTAAACCATGATTTTTGTGAATCGTAAGTCGGTCATATATCTAGTTTTACAAACAACCTCCAAAGGCATATTCATGTAGATCATAAGTGCAAACTGAAATCGATGAGATCATATCATGATAATGATCTTGAAAGTGGAAAACGTGAGAGTCATGCATACTTCATGGATGCAGCACAAAGGTTCAATTGCTTGACAAAAGTATGACACATAACATAACCACCAACAAAAGAATACCAAAGACGAGACTGCCACTCAGAACACTAGAAATACCTATTAGCATCCCGAAATAGGGAACATTAGTTTCCGGAATTTCTGGAAAAACCTTTTGGGATGTAGATAATAATTTGTGATAAATAGAGTATAATCATCATTAAGAAGAGAGCAACGGTTGAAAATAGAAGTAAATTTCATACAATAAACAGTAGCAGATGAAGCTAGAGTATATGTCTGAACCGGTAGTCCATGTACTGAAACATAAAGGAATGAGGCTTCTGCATAGCTCTCAGCCTCTTTAGTAGCCCATGTACCAAACTACACAGGAGAGGTCAGATGAGAGCATGGATTACAATCATTTTTATGCTGAGAGAGATTCGGAAGCAAATCACACAACAATTCATTCTACTTAAGAAGAATCTATCAATATATAAATGAATATTCACATTATATATAATTATATATAGATATATATCAAGAAATGAACCATATCATTTTACTTTCCTGAAAAGAGAAATAAAGTGAGGATTGTGATAATTAAACATATGAAGCTCAATAATAATCACAAGGCAAAATCCCATGGTAAATAACTAATGAAATTAGTAGTAATACTTGTTGCCAAAAAATTACAAGAAGTACACAAAACTTTTCTCCTCATCTAGGAAAGTCTGTTTGTGCATCCTCTTCATTGGCTCAAAGAAGCTGAAATAAGCCAAGGAAAGAAGCAACTCAATAGATATATCCGCCTGAAAAGTAGAGCTAGGTTGTATGCCAGAAAAGCAACTACAGTTTAGTCCACCTAAATGATGATCCAACACATTTAGCAAACTCAGAATAGCAAAAAGACTAGCCCTCAAATGGGGGTGGTCTGACATATATAGAATATTTAAGGATAAAGTTCATATTGGTTAGCAGTAAAGTAGAATCAATAATACCTTCATATAACAGAAATAAGAGATGATATGTTTACCTTCATAACTACAGTTGCGAAGCAACGCGCTGACAACTTGACGGGTGGAATCATCATTCTCTACGAGTAAAACCTTAAGTGTTCTGACCGGAAGAAACCTCTCCCAGCGTACGATTGGCCCCGGTGGCTGCTGTTCCTGCTTCTGGAGACCAGCAGTCTGTTTCGCGAGCGGTGTTGCATCCGTTATCTGGTTACCGTTTAAATCTTCCAAGGCCACATTGATCTTGGACTCATCTTCTTCAGAGGGGGCATGACCTTCCCCACTACATGGGGCTTCCTTGTGCTCAGTCTCATCCTGATGGTTGCCGTCTGTCAGCCCCTCATTCGTAGCCCCTTTAGGGCCGGCTTGATGGGCACTTTCCATCACTCGATTGTCCCACAAGAAAACGTTACGCATCGCTTGGCCTTCTTAACAAACACAGAACTCAAACTCTACCGGACGCCACTTATGTCTGGAATCACAAGAAAGAAGTGATGGGTATTGGGATCAAAACCTTCAGGAGAACCAAAAGACAATTAGATAGCCTTCAAAACCTAAGAACATAAAAATTATAGCAAACACGATTATCAAGAAAAACAAAAGACGAATCAAGATCTGCAAATCGAATAATCCTTCCCGAAAATTCAAATGACATACCAAGACATTCATGCGCAACCCTAGATGACGATCGATAACAATATCAACACAATCCCAGGCAATTAATCGTAGAATACCAAGATCCAGCCAAAGCAAAAGCTTCTCCGAACTAAATTCCAACAAAGACCACCTAAAAAACCCAAATCAACAAGAGTTCCCAAGAACCTCGACCAACGCCACCAAGAACAAGAAAACGCATCAGATTTCGTGTACCTCCGCCCTCGATAAAAATGTGCGAACTACCGAAAAGGCTCAGGAACAATCCATTCTCGGGGATCCGACCAATTCTAGACTTCCTCTAAAGATTCCCAAAGAAAAAGAATAAAGAAAGAACAAAAGGAGGAGGAGGAGGATGAATCGATTTTGTTCGTCCTACTGGGGATTCTAAGTCTCAGGTCGTTGAGGGTCTTCTTCTTCTTCTTCTTCTTCTTCTTGGCCGATGGGAAAGCGTTGGCCGCGTGCTTCGGCTCTGGTGAAGACTACGGTCTCGACTCAAACGGGGACAACAACCGAGTGAGTCGAGGCGTCAAGAAAGGCTGTCAGGGTCAGTTTGGGGAGTCGATGACGTGGAGAAAATGGCGGTGGCGGACAGGCCACGATGTCCACGTGGCGAGACACGCGTGCGAGATCAAAATCCGTGAGCTGACGCGCCCCCCCGATCCGGCGTGAGCCACGTGGGACGGTATGGGGACGCCACAATATCCACTTACCGCGACGTGTCGGCTTCACCGTTTGAGTAGGTGGCGGAGATTCGAGGGAGGTATGCCAACCGGTGCGTGCGGGGACCTCCGGGCGGAGTAACAAAAATCATAACGTCGAGTTAACGGTGTTTACGAATTCGAAACTTTTCAGATACATTTCGAACTAATGTATTATTACACATAAACCCCTGCTTACAAATATTTACCTATATTAACTTTTCGAATTAGTCTGCGGAAACGTTTGAGAGGCATCCCAATATAAATTACTATTACACATATACCCCGTTCCAGTTAAGGATTATTTGCACATACAGTCACTTAAAACATTAAATTCCAACATTGCTCCTCGTGGAATCAAATGGGGGACTGGATAATGCTGGAAGAAGGTTGTGCTTATCCTCTCTCGGTGGCGGGCAGTGCGGATATCATGGTGGGCTATCCATCTTTCGCGTTGACTTTACAAGTCGACCAAGTCCTTCAAATCCATTCTTACTTTTGGTGACCCAATCAGGGTTGGGTCTTCTTTGATCTATTACAAGTTGTCTTGATCGATAGGTTGGATTTGATGTATGAGGCAATGATAGGAGACATTAGGAATATACTCTCGAGTTCTCCTCTTAAATGCACTGCTACTGTGCAAGCAAAACTTCGAAGAGGATGAATAATAGACTGGTCAGCCCTTCCTTCTTGCTGATGTGACTGAAACGATTAAGCTGATTGAATCAGTGCTCTTCTGTTCCCAGGTAAAACTTGTAGACAACATGAGAGGATGAGGTGGACTCCATGAAGGCCGCTGCATGCCTTATCGCTCACGAGCGGCCAACTTTCGAAGACAAAACTCCCCGGCCAGCTGCATTCCTTTGCCCCAGTTTGCTGCCAGCAGAGACAAGCGTACATCCACGAGATCTCTCGGTTGGTCGATACAGGAATCGTGCTTCACGGACACAGGAAAGATGATTACATGCATGGCGACACGTCTGGATTCCATCTTCTTCTATGTTGTGGCCAAGAACCAATGCTTTAAACATCTGGGCATCTTCCACTTTCTTCTCGTGTGTGGCCTTCCTTGGCTCTCTTTTGGACTGGAACCTTTGTCCTCCTGGTTTTTGATCTCTCATCTTGTTTGGATGGTGCAGATGGGTGGGGTGGGATTCTGCTGCTGCTGGCTTTCTAATGGTCTCGCGCAAGAGCACGTACATGCTTTTGTTATCTACTCAGCTTTCTTGTGGAGTCATTGCAGATGCTGCAGACAACATAGCTTTCAAATGGAAAGGTGGGATTGCAGGATTGGATTCCATCAAGATGTGCACGAGGAGACGGTAGTGGACCTCCTTCCCTTCTGCAGGGGCCTCCGTTGCTTCCACGTTCCGTAAGGAGGCCGTCGCCGATGGCAACGAGGAGACGACGGCGGGCCTCCTTCGCCCCTACTGCTTTTACCCCGCTGCTTCCGCTAATTATAATTTTTTATTAGAACTCCCGTCTAATAAAATTAAAATCTAAATTGAGACTGACATAAACAAAATATATTATATTTATATTAACATTAACACAATGAGAATAATAATTAGATAAAAGATCTCCTGAAATTATATATATATATATATATATATATATATATATATATCATAACGGCGTCCGAACCAATCGGTAACGTTTCCCAATCCCAAATGGCTATGCCTCTCCGTTGCATCCAGTCGGCGGCCGCCATCCTCGCGGAGAGCAAGGGCACGCGCCGATGCTCCACCGCGGTTTCTGCGAGGAGCCCTAAAGGCGACCAAGCCCTCGGCCTCCCGTCTCGCCCCAAGAAGGTGAACCGCGGCTCCTGCATCCTCCCTCCCCTTCACGCAGCGCCCGAACCCATCGGTAACGTTTCAACCCTCTGTTGTGTAATTCATCTACTGACATCTCGTTCTACTGCAATCCGAGAGAGTGCTTCTTGCGATGTTGTATCTAGTTTCTTGTCATAGGAGTATTGTGGGCATACCTGAAGAGGGATGTCCTCAAGGTTATACGCAGGTTCCTGCGACATCCTCCTTGTTAGCTTGGACCTCCACGAGTTTCTCCTGTGAAGATTTCAATCAACTCAACAACAGAGATTACGGAACAAGAAATAACATGGGTGTTTCATTAAGAAGAATATGAATATAATGTGTTATTTGAAATAATTAGTTCTCCATGAGTTAATCTTGCATCGACTTGTTTCAATATTTTATTGGTAATTGTCTTAGGATATTTTCTATTTTTAATCAATCTGTTAGGAATTGCATAAAACATTTAGTGAGTTATAATTGACTGTAAGCAACACTATTTTTTTGAATGGTTCAAAAGTTTCACTGTTGTTCCTGCTGAGTCTAAGAGATATGCACATAACAGGTAGCACATCTGCAATCAGCCCTGAGAGCCTCACTGGTTCCTTAGAAAGTGTAGAAGTTCTTGATTTAACTGGAAAAGCGATTCGCATAACAGACTTGTGGAGAGATAGGAAAGCTGTAATTGCATTTGCACGTCATTTTGGGTGATGTTATATACTCTTCTTTATTCATTCTTTCTAAAGTTGAACCAGTCTAAAGAATAATTTATACTTTTCTACTTCTTCAGATGTGTTTTTTGTCGTAAACGGGCTGATCTTCTTGCCTCCAAGAAGGTATTAGACTTACAAAGTTCAATTTCTCCTAAATTTCCTGTGGCAGGAGTTTCTTTTGCTATAACCACAGTGGTGTGTGGTTTGAATAATAATGACATCAGAGGAACATGATTAAGTATAACTTGCTTCTTCTTAACATAGAACAATGATAATATATAGGGTGGTTGAAGAGGCCCATCTTGTTCTAGATTCATGGCATAAAACTACTCACCGTTCCCCATGACATTTTATTTTCATCATGGATGCAATATTGCAGGCACTTGTTAAAATATTTGTTTTCTGTGAACCCTGATGGTCAAGTATGTTGATCATCGAGGAAATAAAGGAATAACTTTTATCCATTCTTCTTAGCTACACCACATTCCCGAGATGAATTTTAATAAGTAATTCAACAGTATGAGCCTCTGAGGTTGTATCTTCATCGAGGTTAATAATTCAATTTACACTGTTTCTATTTTGTCCTAATCTGTTTACTTTCTTTGTTATGAACCAAATGGAAGTGGTGAGCTAGATGAGTAAGCCAAATCAATTTCCTTAAGACAACATATGTTTGTTTCTTGACCTTGAAACAGACACAGCCAAATGATCATGTTGAGTCATTGAAGAGAATTCACATAGAGCTACATGAATCTGTAGGTTCACTATGTTGTTCTTATTTGTTTCTGTGTGCATGTCAACTGTGAAAAAGGCACGCATTTTTAGTAAATGTTCAAAGAAAAGTGGAAAATGTTTATTTTTGAGTTAAAACGAGATAGGGAGTCTTTTGTAAGATGGTAATCATTGTGCACATATCCACTATTTTTGTATCTCATGATGTATCTGTATATATATGTGCATTTGTCTTTTCTTTTAAACACACACACACACACACACAAACAATATATACATATATAAATATATATATGTATATGTGAGTGTGTGTATGTATATATATATATATGTATATATATATATATATATATATATATATATATATATATATATATATATATATATATA